TGCATGGAGTTGGACTATTTGGAGTTTGTTTTCATGCAGCATGACGTAGCAAATTGCATGCTCTTCTATAAAAATAACTTTGCGTGATATGAACGACAAATCTTGTTCAAAAACATTAAAAAAAAAAAAACAGTCAATCAAAGGGTATTTCAAATGATAATAAAAATAATTTAAAAATTTACACGTTTTAAGTTTAATTTTTGACAATTTCTTAAAATTAATCGAGCAAGTTATAAGAGATTTGTCCTTCATCAATACCCTAATCTCTACATAGATAATCTATCTTTAGTTGGATTTGAAAGGGTATTAATGGAGATGAACGTAAGTTGATTTGAACACTCCTCAAAAGAGCAATGTTATTGAGATTTAATGACCTAATTTGCTGACTTAATTCACTATGACCTTTGGATTGATTGTGGAGTCCATCAAACATTGGAACTTAGTGTTGATCCAATAGTTCTATTAAAACCATGTCATTATATCAGTAAATTAGGTCAAATTTTTAGATTTAAATAGTATTACTCTTTGGTTAAAAATTAATAATTTGCTCCAAAAAAAACGCAATTGAACTATTTTTAGATATTACATGGGAATTACTACCTAAATTTATGGAATATTAATTAATGGATCGGATATTAACATATCAAAAGTTTAAATCCTCTAAATATACCACAAAGAATAAATATTTTGCTAATCATATCCAATTCAAATTCGAATTGAATTCTAATCAACATCAGATCCATTAACAAATCTATTAAAGACGCATAGTTCTTCACAACTTTTTTTTAAGGAAAAAATTATTGAACCTAAATTTATAATCCAAATTTACATTTAAAATGAACAGGGATCATTGAATGAATGAGTCCTATTAACTTTTTAAAATGAGAACCATTGATCCAATAGTCTTTATTGATTTGGGATGCACAATAATAAATTACTCTTTTATCAATTTGGGCATTATCTCTGCACAGCAACGAATCCAAGAATTTGGTCTTAAGGGAACAAAAGAATAGAAAATTACAGACTTTAAATTTTTTTTAAATAGTTTCGGAGTGAGGAGTTAGTAATTAGGACAAACCAAGAACAAACGCATGATAAAATGACGTTTTCATCAAACATCGGCAATTACACGCCGTTTGTGCTTGCATTTCTTGTAATAGATGTAATGGATTGAGATCACCTTTAGTTACATTTTTCTTTCAATAGTAGATCATCTACTATTTATTTTAACAATTTATTATTGTTCAAAATTTAATAAAAATATAATGCGTGAGATCTGGATACAGTTTGCAATTGCCCTACTCACCCCTAGATTCATCATTGGCTCGGCCATGTACAACACAAGCATCAAAACCCATAGCGGCTCAAGCATCAAAACCCATAGCGGCTCGGAGTGGTCTAATGAGGTACCGATTGTACTTCTCATCCTAAGGTTAGAAGTTTGAGTATTGAAGTTTATATTAGAACTCGGTGATTAACCGCTATGCTAGTCTAATTAGGTTTATTCCTGAGAGGAGTAATGAGCGCGATCAACCAGTAAAAACCTATCAAAATAATATCTGACGTTCTTCTTTATCTCCACTCTTTTTGAAATAGAAAAAAAAAGAGAGAGAGAGAGAGACAACGTCTCAACTTGTTTTAGGAGATACAAAATAACCGGAGAAAAATGGCCCATTAATGATTTCCATAAATATTCAAGAATTCTTCCTGTTGTTAGATGTTTGGATCATTTTGGTAAATCCTTTCTAAGGTTGCTTTGTTTCAATAATTTCATACAACTAAATAGTTGTTCACGCCCCCACCTTTTTTGCTCTTCTTTTAAGGGCTTCCCCATTTCTATTGTCTAAGCATGTGGAAGCCATTAGTGCTTGTAATTAAGCCTCACACAGAGTAATCAAATAATCACTCAGCCAATAGTTGTTTCAGAATGTGGCCTCTCTCTCTCTCTCTCTCTCTCTCTCTCTCACACACACAGAGCTCACTGTACCTGGTTAGGACTTTGACCACGATACAAAAGAAAAAAAAATTAGTACCGTGCTTCCCAATTTTATTAGTGTAATAGATGTTGTTGTAATTTTTGTAGGTATTTTTATTGTTGTTGTGGGTATTTTTATTATATTTGTAATAACTATTTTTATCACTTTTTTTAGTACAAAAAAAATTATCATTTTTTTAGATGATTTACCATATTTATAGATATTTTTATCACTATTATGATAATTATTTGTATTATTTTTTTGAGTATCGTTAAAGTGATAAAAATGCTTATAAATATGATAAATGGAGATATGGTACTGAAAAAAAAATTCGATACACTAGTCAACTCCACCTAGTTATAGACCGAGAATCTTTAGTTGTAAGGCTATAAAAATGAAATACTGGTAACATGAACGAACTGTAAATTCAAATATTCTAAATTCTGAGTTTATACATAAATTGACTTACACACTCTTAACCCTCTCAATAAAGAAAAATGAAATCAAAAAACAATCGGTTATAAATGTTGATATTTGATAATTAAGTATTGGCAGATAACGAGCTGAAGGCAAACGTGTGTGTCACAGAGGGAGTGTGCAATCTAGGCGGAATCAATGCGAATTGCCATAAATTTCCATTTGGGTGGGCGCTTAGGCTGTCAGAAAGTCATAAAAAAATACTAAACAATTGAAGCAGGCGAGAGACAAATAGTGGTGACATAATAAAATTTATATTTCAAAAATAAATAAAATTACTTTTGTTATTCACGGTTTAGATAATTTTAAATTTTATTTTAAAATTAATCTAACGGCTCATATTAACATTTTAAATTTAATAGAAAAAATAGACCTCTAATGGTGTGTTTGGAGTGATTTTTTAAAATTACTTTTAAAAATTATTTTTCATAAATACTTTAAAAAAAAAGTGTTTAAAACCACCTCATCACTATCTTTACCACCGCCACCACCGTCATCACCGCCACCGCCACCACCATTGCTGCAGTCGCAGTTGCCGCCACCACCGCTATTGCCGCCACCATTGTTGCCACTCTTGTTGCTGTCGCTGCCACCACCACTACCACCGCTACCATCACTATCATCGTCGCCGCCACCACCACCACCACTATCATCACCACCGTTGTCATCGCCACTGCCACCAGCACCGTTATCATCGCCACCACCAGCACCGTCGTCGTCACCACCACCACGGTTATTGTCACCTACTATAACTATCACTGTCTCCTACCACCACCACCACCACCACTACCGCCTACCACCTCTCACCCCTACTACAACCAATACTTAAATTCATTTATCTCTCTTCTATGTTTATGATTTGATTTTGGATTTGAATACATATATATTTTATGATTTACTATTTTTTATTATTTTGTATCTTCAGGCACAGACAATAACTAATAAATTTATATAATCCGTAAAATATATGTATGCAAACTTATGTATATATTTTTAAAAAATTAACGGTAGACTAGGGCCCACCTTGCCCTATATAGCTCTGTCGGTGCAATTGGAGTAGTTGAGTTAAATTCAACTAAAAATATCACAACATAATCTAAATTCTAACAATATTGGGTTTTAGATAGAGATGATATGAGTTACTCATATTCCCCTCGTTTTCAACTTAATTTGAGCTCATTTATTTAGAAAACAAGCTGATTTCAAATAGTTTTTTAAATTTGTTTAAAAAAAAATTAATAAATTTGATTCGAACTTATAAAATTTGGCTCATTTACATATGTGAAATAGCAGAGTTATTTAGACTTGACTTAATCTCGTGTGTTTTTTTGAAAACGAATTTGTCTTTGTTTGGCTCATTTACCATCCCTAGTTTTAGGCACCCAACTTACACCCATATTGATATTAAAAATTCGATTTCCACTATAACATAGCCTAAACTATAATTACCAAATCCCTAGTCTCCATTTTTCTTTCTAGATGTTAAGTCAGACATTAATCAATAGTTAACACAAGATCATTTTAGAATAATACGAGTGGCAATTCCAATCCAACCATAAGTGGAACCATGGTCTTAATGTATGATAAAACAACTGTTCACCTATAGGTGCAATACCAAATTTGCTCTTGTTCCTGTGGCTTGGGTGTGAAAGTGAAAGGCTACCTGGGTCAGGTTGAAGGGAGCAATGTTACCTGCTAGGGGTGTAAATCGTGTGTGTGCGTGCGTGTGTTATTTTTGGTACGTGTCCTATTTATATTAATATTTTAAAAGATTAAAAAAATACAAATACATATTTTTTTTTACCTATATTACCCGTTAATCATGTCTAATTTTATTTTAATTTATTTATTATAATAGAATAAATTATTGTTATTAGAATGATGACATATCTCTACATGTATTAATTGAGATTCATAATTAATTTAATAATTTTAATAAATTAAATTAATAAATAAAAGTAACAGACGAGGAAGTGACAGATACGGTCAAACTCCAGCTTACACCGCTGGTTTGCCTGCGTTAATACTACCAAAAACAGCAAATTACCGTAATCAGATTACAGACTTAGTAACCACAAAAAATTTACCATTTTACCCTCTCCTAGTTAGCAGTATTAAATAAATACTAGAAATAGACATACATGGGGCTCCTATGGCTCCTTGCCACTTGCGCCACTCCATAAATTCAAGTTTCTTTCCGTCCCCTTCTTCCATTTCGCTTTTATTGACAGTGATACACAGAGAGAGAGAGAGAGAGAGAGAGAGAGAGAGAGAGGAGGTTCTGGCTTATGGGTATGTGCGTGAAAACGGTTCTGTTCCCCAGGGGCACTCCTCTATATGAACTGTTTATAGGTATACAAAGAGAAAGAAAGAACCCTGTATAGGAACCGTTCATAGAATCAGTGGCATTTAGAAAGAGTGAGACAGAGAAAGAAGGAGAAGAGAGAGAGAGAGAGTCCTCTATAAGAACCGTTTATAGAGGCATTTAGAAAGAGAAAAAAGAGACACGAGGAAGAGGAATAGAGAGAAGAGGAAGAAGAAGAAAGCATGGTTCAGAGGAAAAGATTAAGGCATATCCATGCAAGATCTGATCTTTTTGAAGGGTTACCTGATGATATGGTCATTTCCATCCTCTGCAAGCTCAGTTCCACCGCTCGTTGTCCTTCAGATTTCATCAATATTCTCATCACGTATATATATGAATACATAATTATACCTATATTTATCTCTACACACACACACACTGCCACACACGTCTATATATATATATATATATATATATATATATATATATATATATATATATATATATATATATACAGTTTTATGTTTTGGGTTTCCTCTGGGGGACTGATCTTTCATTTACATGGAACAGTTGCAAAAGACTAAACCGTTTGGGTCTCCACCCTCTGGTCCTCTCCAAAGCCGGTCCGGAAACACTCGCCGTTAGAGCAAAGAACTGGTCCCACCATGCCCATCGGTTTTTGAGACAGTGCATTAACGCCGGCAACACTGAAGCCTCTTATATTCTCGGCATGGTCAGTAATCCACAGACATACATAGTCGTTGATCTATGCATACCTGCGTTATATATAATGGGTAGTAGTTCTTTTCTGATATTATTTTATCATTTAATCGTTTCAGATCCGATTTTACTGTCTACAAGACCGACTGACAGGAGGGTCTCTCATGGCGAAGGCGGCGATAAAATCTCACGCGCCGGCACTGTACTCCTTGGCTTTGATTCAGTTCAACGGCAGTGGTGGCTCGAAAGCCGAGATGTTACAGCGAGCCGGCGCAGCGCTCTGTGCCAGAGCCGCCTTCCTCGGTCACATCGACGCCCTTCGTGAGCTTGGGCACTGTCTCCAAGACGGTTACGGCGTGCGCCAAAACGTCGCCGAAGGACGTCGACTCCTCGTCCAAGCCAACGCTCGCGAGCTCGCGGATGTCTTACGCTCCTTCCGGCCAATTTCTTTCAACCCTCTGACGTGGCAGTCTCTGAACCAGCGGGGTAACGGATTTGTAATCGGATCTCCTTCGGATGCCCGGAAGGGAATTGGGTGTGGGTTGTGGAGCGACTTTGGGTGTACCTCGCCGGAGCGTGAGGTGCACCCGGCGAATAGGTTTTTGGTGGGGTGGTTCGAGTTGAGAGGTGGTGGTCCGGGTCATGGACTGAGGCTGTGCTCCTTTTCGGGTTGTGGAAGGCCAGAGGCCCGGATAGGTGAGTTTAGGAGGTGTACGGGTTGTGGGAAGGTGAACTACTGCTCACGTGGGTGTCAGGCACTTGATTGGAAGATACGCCACAGGGTGGAGTGCGCACCCACGGAGCAGTGGATGGATCAAGAGGACAGTGAAGAAGAACCCGAGGAGGAGGACGAGGAGGTGCAGGGAGAGAACGAGGAGGCGTGGTGATGGCGACGGTGATGGCCGGGCCATAAATTTAAAAATTAAATTTGATAATTACACGCATAAATTTTATTGTGAGTCATTGCAATCCATTACTTACTTAATACTTAAGATTATCAAACGTAGTTCGTAACTCCATTTATCATTACTCCGAAGAGAGAGTCGGTCAGTGTTACTTTTAACTTTGTACTCAAAATTGGCAAGTTCTTGGCATTGTAATTCTGTGTATTGATGGAGAACAAATTTGGAATTGTTGCATTTTATATTTCCAAAAGTTTTAAGTTTTTCCCATTGCATTATTCAAAGTTGATATATTTTTTTCATAGTTAATTTAATGATATTGATGAAAAAATTAATGAAAAGTTAATAGAAAGATCATAATATTTCTTTTTTGATACATTAAAAATCTTTAAACGGACAAAAATAAAAAATTTAAAATCTTGGAGGGTTAAAAGTATAATTTTGCCAAAATATTAAGGGGGGACACAGAATTGGCATATTTGATTTTGGTGAAAGGTGGGTGTTCAATTGATTTGATTATGCCTCATTGGTGATTCGCTATCTCTCGAGTGATAATGTTATTTCCCTCTGAAAATCTTTAAGTAATTTGTTGATCTATAATTGATTGGGATATTCCAATAATAATATTTTAATTGTAATTTTTAGACTTGTTTATTACAGTTATATCAACTGTCATATTATTAGTTCAATAAAATAAATTAATTAAGGTTTTAAGTAGTAATGTAACATGAATTTAATTTATTGACTTGATAAATTACCGTAATTAATTTAACTACGGGTCTTAATAATTGTCTCAGTATTTATCAGGATTCATTATTTATTTAATGATTGTGATTTATTAAATTAATATTTTAAATTTAAATAATATTTTTCAAAAGAAGAAACATGTTTACAATAAGAAAAGGCGGGTTTTCGATTTTTTTTTATTTAACAAGATGTTGTGGTCGTACTTTTTTTTTTTTAAAGAGTTTTTTCTATTTCAAAACAATCCCTCCAAAAATTGACGTATGCCACTATGTGCAACGAACATACGATATTCTTTAGTAAAAGAATAGTTCGCTTTGTGCTTATTGCGTGGCTGCATCGTTGTGGTCGGACTGCACCATGTGCTACAAAGGGACTTTTAAATAAGGCAAAAAATGAATGGATGGACACTTTTCAAAACCAAAACAACGATGGAGCTGAAAGAAACGACATGTTCACATTTCCCACTCACCCTCCACCAAAACAAAGGTTTAAAAAAATTTATTATAAATTTAGAGGGAGAATTACACTCGGATCATCTGAAATTTGTCACTTAATCATTTAAATATTTAAAATATTACACACAAATCTCTTAAGGTTTGTATGTGTGTAATACTTAGATCCTAGTCATCGATGTCCGTTAGTATATTTATTAATAAATTACATTCAGATTTCTTAAAATTTATAAGCGTATAATACTTAAACCCTTCAAGTTTAATATGATATATTTAGAACAAAAATATTTCAATCAAAAATATTAAATATTTTAAATTTTATAATCAAAATTCACGTTATATTGTACAATTTATTGAAATAAAATCAAAAATAAAAAATTATTTTTTTCTTAAAAAATCATAATTAGTATACAATTATATTAAAACTAAAAAATCAAATAAGGGGTCCAAGTCATTCATAATAAAATATGAATTTTACAACTAAAATTCATATTCTAATTGACATATTATCTTATAATTTTAATTGGGATAATTTGGTTGTTTATACGATTAAATTAAATTTTAATAGATAGTATAATTATATATTAATTATAATTTTTTAAGAAAAAAATAGTTTTTTTTTGTAATTTTATTTCAATAAATGTCATAATAGAATATAAATTTTTGTTGTAAAATTTAAAATATTTAATATATTATTTTTGATTGAAGTATTTTTTTTTTAAGTATAATAACTTGTAAAAAAAAATTATGATTATTCAAGCGAATTAAAAATATAACCGTAACTTTTGATATGATACCAATTTTTTTTTTCCTTGTTTCAGTACCACTGACTTTCCCCTAAAATCAAATTTCAACGGATAGGACCTGAAGCTGATGATCCAAAGCTTTAATACAAAATTTCTTTCAACTCCCAAAGCATTTTCCTCGAAAACTAGCATAATATATTGAGAAACCTAAATAATTATCATAAACTTAGTATCCAATTCTTCCATGAAAACAAAAAGACCCGATGCAATTGTTTGAAACCCCCTAAAATTTGTTTTATAGATCTCTTGACATTTAAAATATTATATATAAACTCCCTAAAATTTGTACACACATAACACTTATACCTCTATGATCAATATTCGTTAGTGTATCCGTTAGTAAATTATACTAAAACCTTTTGAAATTTATAGGCATGTAATACTTGTTATTTGTGGTGTTCTAAAATTGTAAAATCACTTATTGATATTTCTGATATCATATAACTTAAAATAAAACAAACAGTAAATGTGAACTGTAGAACCGTAACACAAATCAAAACAGTTACCGTAAACAGTTAAACAGAACCAAAAAAATTACAATAGGCTTATGAAATACGAAAGAGTTATAACAAACAGATACACGTAACTATATGCCAAATTAATGTAAAAACTAACCCAGTTGTAAAACAGGAACTGTTATTGAACTCGTTGTAGATCAAGGGTAGTGTTTGACACTATATTCTTAAGACAGATTTCGCCCCCACACACGGTGCTTATGGAATCTGAGCGCCTGCCTCCCAAGATAAAATGATCTTCCACGAACAAAAGTAGCACTTTAATCTATTCGTACAGCGAACAAAAAATTGTGTCGTGTACTCTCTAAACGTACTGTCTTAAATGCCTTAATGGACTGATAAATTGAATGAATAAAATGAATGCATGCACTGAGTATTTATAGATAGTCTGGTGACTGTCCGGACAGGCACCTCATTAAAGGACACAACCCATAAACAAAAACCGACCCAACCAGCGGACACCTTGAATAACTGTTTTTCATGAACAGTCACATCTTGAAAATTTTGGACCGAAGCAAATCCGAACTATCCAACGGGTTTAGACTGGAGCAAATCCGAATTATCCAATGAATACCAAAATTAATTTCAGGTTAAAAAATTCATGCTAAATTAATTAAATAAATTTTCTCCAAAAAGATAGGCTTGGCCACACCCACACCACACCCGAGCCCGGCGGGGCAGCGTGTGTGCGCACAAGTGGTAAGACCCAACGGCATGTAGGTGTTCGCTCCGCTCATAAAATTGTAGTACCCCTTGAGGCCCAACCCATAGAGCAAACCTGAGTTATATATGTCCATTTTGAATTCCTTACTCAACCAATGTAGGATTGGTGTCAAATCCCACATTGCACATCCTTTATTTTCACTCTTCAAGAGGGTCACTTTGGAGTCTATTTTCTCATTTATTTCTTACTCGATTTGAGCAAGTGAATATTCCACGTTATACTCCTCACGGAGTAGAATATGAACCTACGAAATTTTATTCGAAATAACTAATGGGTCCCACTTTAATTTAGGTTCAAAGTTGACCAAAAACTCTGTTTGTTTACACTAAAAAACTGTTTTTGGTCTAACAATCCCCCACATGAATGAAATTTGGTTGTTAGTATGCAAATGATAATGCTGACACACTATAGAGAGTACATCTTTGGAAAGATCGTACATCGATATAGGTAGCTTTTGGCCTTGAACCTTCCCTAGTGAAAGTTCATCGGACTTACCGGCTACATAGTGAACGTGATGTCTTGAACTATTCAGCTGTTTGATAAATCAGATCGAATAGACTTCACACAGTTTTTTTCCTAACACAATTGGTTCTCATGATTGTGTTCATTTTGGCCCTGAACAACTCCTGATTTTCATGAGTGTTTTAGAGAATTCAGCCTTTACAAATTCTCACAGAAGCGGCCCCTTCACATCCATATAGGTGACTCCCATTAGGAATATCCTGCAATATCCCACTTGAATTTTTCAAGGTATGAGAGTCATTAAAAGCATAGCTTACCGTAATTATTTCTGCAGGCAGCACTAATTTATCATAGGAATAGGTAGGAGAGATTATCTCCTTAGTGCTTCTTTTGAATCACGCATAATTCGGTTGTCCCTTTGAACCTAAATCTTGGGATCTCCAGTCAACTAGGTTGGGTTGCCATTAAGGTGATTCTTGTGTCATAGGCTTTAATCTCATTCCCCTCGATGTACAATTTACTTGCTCTCTAGTCAAACCTTTAGTAAGCAGATCCGCTAGATTATCCTTTGACTTTATATAATCAATGGAAATAATCTCATTTGAGAGCAATTGTCTAACGGTATTATGTATATGACGTATATGTCTAGACTTACCATTATACATGTCATTTTGTGCCCTACCAATTGCAAATTGGCTATCGCAATGTATACAAATTGCTGACACAAGTTTAGGTCATGTTGGAATATCCTCTAGAAATTGGCGAAACCACTCAACTTCCTCTCCTGCTTTATCTAAAGCAATAAATTCAGATTCCATTGTGGATCTGACAATACACGTTTGCTTAGAGGATTTCCAAAATACAACTGCACCACCAAGTGTAAAAACATAACCACTTGTGAATTTTGTATCATTCATATCAGATATCCAATTTGCATCACTATACCCTTCAAGTACAGGCGAATATCTTGTATAGTGCAGCCCAAAATTCAGGGTATATCTTAAGTATCTAAGAATCCTAATAATTGTCTTCCAATGGTCTACTCCTGGATTACTTTTATATCTACTCAATTTATTAACTGAGTATGCTATATCTAGTCTAGTGCAGTTCATGACATACATTAGACTACCAATGATACGAGAGTATTCCAATTGTGATCTGCTTTGACCAACATTTTTAGACAAATGAAGATTTATATCCACTGGTGTTCTACCAATACTACTTTCATTTTTATCAAACTTCTCAAGTATTTTCTCAATATAATGTGATTGAGATAATA